TACCCATACAACTATGTGGACGACACCCGCACACACTCACACACACACACACACACACACACACACACACACACACACACAACGTGCACCCTACATCGCCGACCGACCACGGATGGCGGCGGCAATCTCCATAAGCGCGTGACACATCATTCTCTGCGTCTCATCGGACGCCGCGTAGTGCGCTTTCTGGACTGCAACTTCTTGCTCGAGTATGTCGCATTGCCTCGTGAATATGCTGCATTGCTGCTTGCTAGACGATTCGATCGTCGACGACATCAGTTCGCCATGGCGGTCCATGACATCAGCAATCGACTCCAACGCCTGTTGACGCGCATTCTTCCGCTTCCCGCCTCCAGCCCCGCTAGTTGCGTTGTTGTCAGAGTCCCTCGTAGAAGAACGTTCTTCAGGGAAGCCTTCACCAAGGACCTCACTACCAACAGACTCCCGAGCACCCGCTCCTCACCTGGGCAGCTGCACCCCGTCCGGACTTCCGGTGTCGGCAACGTTGGGAGGGAAAATTGTGTGGTTGTCCAGCATGCCTGCGTGGATCTCGTTGTACAGCGCCCTCTCCATCCGGAACTTGAAGTTGTGCTCCTTCCTTTCTTCATTCGATAGCCCGAAGAAATCTGGCCGGTAACTCGCATTCTGAAACCTCTGTATCTTCTTGTAGTTTTGGAAGAGATTGTCCCACTTCTTCATGCAGTCGTCTGCGTCTTTAGGCCTCCCTGTTCCACTCCTTGGTCCGCATCCGCCCGTAATTGTGACCCAGCCCGGCGAGGTGCATCTCTTGCTCCCGCTTGCATCTCACCCGTTGCATTTGCTCTTCCGGAGACCTGTACGTCGCAGACTTCCCGCCGTCGTCGCTGACGTCACCTCTGCCCCCACGGCCAACGGATCGACCACGAACATCACCTCTGTTGCGTCCTCTCCCCCTCCCACCCGTCTTCCCCAAAGGCCGAATAGGAATGTCGTCGTCGTCGTCTCCTGCTTCCACGTCCTCCCTGAATCGTTCGTCGGCATCGTCACCGCCACCACCATCGTCGTCGCCGCCATCACTGTGTGCCCGCATGTTTGACACTCCTCGTGTGATGTTCTCCACAGTGGGTGCTGGACGCACCGCTGGTCTGCATGCGTCGTCGTCCCTGAGGTCGGGTTGGGTCGGCGTTGTGCGTTTGGGCATCAAAGGACGTGCACCGCCGATGCGCAGGGACCCGGTTGCGACTCCATTGCGTGCGGGGCAGGTACTTGTCAATCGATCAGCGGACGGTGCACTCGATCCATGCTTCCGGCCTACTGCCGATGGCCCGACACCGCCAGTAACGGACGCACCGCCACGAAGTGTGGAGTGCTCCGTATGCTGACTTCCAGATTGTTGAACGCCAAGTGGCGAAGGATCGGCGTCGATGATGAACGTGCGGCTCGCCTCCCTAGCGCCGTCAGAACACAACCCGAACCTGAGATAAAGTCCTCCGTCGTCGTCGTCTCCCAAGCCTTGGTGCAGCAGTGAGGTGAACTCGCCGCCTTCGTTGCTAGCTGACCCGCATGCTCGCACCGTCTGCGACAACAGATGCGTCGATCCGCTGGCAAGAGGCAACGTTGGAACTTCTTCCGTCTCCGGATCCTCGTCCGACGGGGGCAGTGGCATCTCCCACGACTCTAGATGGCTGTACAAAGATGGGTCGTACCGCCGTGGAGGCTCCGCAGTCGGTGGTCGTCTTCCGCCCTGACCTGCACCAACACCTGCACGTGCCTGCATGCCCACCATCGGACGTTCCCCTGCCGCCCGTTTCGTTGAAGCCCTCTTGCGATGTTGTTTCCACGGCCTCCACGACAAACACACGTGGAGGAAGACGACGATGAGGAACACGACGACAGCGAGTACGAGCAGAGGCAATCTCCTCTGCACGTCAGCCATGAAATTCACCTCGGGAGCCACCCTCGAACGCGACTACTGCAGAAGAGTGTTCCGACATGCCGGGGGATAGGGCCGCTCGACCTTCATATGCCGAAAACCAGCACAGAAGACGACAAAGCTGCCTGCCTGCGATTCGAAAATTGACCATTGCCGACCACGCACCGCCCCAAACGCCTCCATACGGTGTCCCGCGCACGTCGTCGTCCTCCTCTATCACCCGCAACCGAACCAACGGTCCACTACGGACGCCAGCCCGCCCACGGTCGCCCCCCCCCCCCCSCSCKSCACCCCGTCGGCCAGCGGCTACCGCTGGTGGCCATTGTCGGCCTCGACCTGCAGAAAACCTCCGATGTCCGGCCACGTACCCGACGGACCGCTCCTGGACCAGCAACCCCGTGGCGACGGTGCCATGCGCGCGACACAACGAGTCCGTGAAACGTGGGAATCCTAAATTTTTCAGTAGGTCGGGGGCTACTGGAAAATTTAGGACGATTTTGCCTGGGGAATCCTAAATCCTTTACGACTGGTCCTAATGCCGTTTTCACATTTTCGATCTCGAAATTGGATTTAGGATTGCGTGCAACGAAGACACAATCCTAAAAACAGGAACTTTTAGGAGTGTCTAACGAGACCCTTAGTTCAACAGGCTATAATTTTGTTCCAATAACTTGCGGTAGCGTAGAGGCACCAATACTATTGGACAAGGTACATCTGGTTTCCTTTGCGAGATAGCAGCCAGGCACCAATACTATTGGACAAGGTACATCTGGTTTCCTTTGCGAGATAGCAGCCAGAAGGCTGTAAGCGAAACCGGCTGATGCTGCCAGGAGATAGCAGCCAGAAGGCTGTAAGCGAAACCGGCTGATGCTGCCAGGATAACTCTGGGTTGAATGGTGAGGTCCCCGCCTCATTCATTTTTTTTTTTTTAATCCTCGCCTCATTCTGTGTTTCTGATAAAAAAAAAAAAAAAAACAATGCCTGATCCATGACGGCTCAGAGAATAGACGGATTATCAGCAAAAAGAAAAAAAAAGAAAAAAAGAAAAAAGAAAAGGTACAGCCGTGTGACGTGAACCATGCCCAAAACCCCAAATCGGCCCTTCTCAAATCCGCATATTTTGCAGATCTGGGGGCGCCGTGTGAGTATGCCCTGAGTATGCCCTCACACCCTCACTCACACTCGTGCTGGCTGAAGACCTTACCAAATACTGACTGGGAGGATCCAGCTGACTATCTCTGTTGGCTGGCACCAAGCGTGCCACAGGCTGCAGAGATTCTGCACGGTTGAAAAAGAAAGAAAATGGAAAAACGAGATTCTGCACGGTATCGGGGGGAGGTCCCAGCAGCAGACAGAAAGGATTCCGTTGACCGTTCGAATCTGGACATGGTTGTGCGCAGGTGCAGAAAATCTCTATTGATCTGTTTCACTGCTTGAAACCTATCCAGATTCATGGGCTTAATTCAGCTCTAGTGGCAGTCCGGACCCTTATCCGTCGCGGCACCGAGAGTCTGAATAGCAGAGGTGGAACTACCGTAGACCCACCTGCGAAGTTGCACCAGGCTGGTGCAGACCGACGGGCCCACCACCGAACCGCATATACCACGCGGGTTCGATATTAGCTGTACTTGGTCCACTCTGGTCCAAATACAGCAGCAATGAGCGCGCGTTCTCTTCAGCCTCGGAAGAATGATCCTCGTTCCCGCGCAGAACAGGGGCGAGGTCCCACTAGCAAAGAGGATATGATCAAGCTCCTGAATCTGGATGTGTTTTATGCAGAGGTGCAGAAAAGCATTTCAATCTCGATCTCCTGCACCTGTCCACAATTACGTCCAGAGTCAGGCATTCGATCGGTACCACGGCCCAGAAGGCAGTGGGGTCAGTTGGTTAGAAATTTGAACCATGGGCCTCGCTCCACTACTCTCGAAATGTGCAAAACGAGAGTGAATCTTCCGCTAGGACATGGAAAGATACATGGCCATGATTTTTGACCTTTGTGCATTTCGCGAGCAGTGGAGCGAGGCCCCATTTTTCTCGATATATATCCGGGTCCTCGTCGCGCGGATTCATCGTCGCGCTCAATCCGCGCGGTTGCCCCGCGCCGAGGTCCCACTACCGTAGCAAACAGGGTTGGATTTGACGCCTAAACAGGATTGGATTTGACGCCTGAATCTGGACCTGTCTGCGCAGAAATGCAGACAATGGCGAGTGATCCGCTTCTCTGCATCCCGTCAGAAAACTCATCCAGGCTCAGTCGCTTCATCGAATCCTCTGTGCTTTGTAGTGGGACCCGCCCCCGCGGGTGCTGTTTTTCCGGAACGGACAAATCTGTTTCCGTCGAAACAGCGCGCAAATTCGGCTGGCGCTGGCGGGACAAGGACGGTGCAGGAGCGGCGGGACCGAAGGAGAGAGAAAAGAAAAAGGCGGGAATGAAAACCCCGCTGGCGAATTGGCGGAAGCAGCGGGAGGAAACGGGGAAGGCGGGAATGAAAACCCCGATGAAACTGAAACAACATTGGAAGCCGAAAGAGAAGAAGCGATCGAGGTGTCGTACTAGTCGTAGTGGGGAAGCCACTGGAAGCCACTGGAAGCCGAGCACGACCCCTTGGCGGGGCCATGGGAGCTGCTGCTGTAATGAAAAACTAGACTAGATGACGCCATCTCAAAGTTGAAGTTAATGTGCTCCGCAGATCTTTGCAGCTCTGCTAGAAAGCGGAGCGGGGCGGGGCGGGTAATCAACCCAGAGGAAGGTCTCTGTAGTGTCGACGGACTCACTACGTAGCGCTGTGACCCTTCGTAGCTCTGCTAGATAGAAAGCGTGGGATCAGGAGCGAACACGGCAGGCACGCCCGTGCACGTTCAGGCGTAGGTGTATAAATATAAATGTGTGCATAGGTGAATAACTAGCTAGCTAACTAAGTACGCATGTACATACACAGACAGATATCTAGGTAGAACACACACACACACACGCAGAGAGAGAGAGAGAGAGAGCTGTCTCTTATACACATCTAGATGTGTATAAGAGACAGGCTCGTGTGGTGGGGGCAGCGCCGGCGGCGGTAGGGAATGCAAGCTGAAAAAAGGTAAGAAGTCCCTGGACTCTGTAGGGTCGAACATTTCGATGAATATGCCAGCTGCTGATAGTATGTTGAAGAGTCCTGAGGCTGAGGATGCAGGTGCTGACAATATAGATTCTGCTGCGGCAGCTGCCGCTGCTACTCCTGTTGAAGCGGCGAGCAAGGCGGATGCCCATCAGCGGGCTCCTGTTGAGTCATCCGATGGTAATCATCGTGGTGAAAATCCATGTGCGGAGAATGACAGCCCGCCGATCGAAGGCGGTGGTGCCGACGATCGAGCATGCGTTGCGAAAGGCGTGCAGTGCGGTGATGATCGGACCGCCGGTGATGGCGACAAGCATGAACTGAGCAGCAACACCGAGAAGAAGACGACTTCCGATGGTGGCAGTGCCCTGAAAGAGAGGTCAACAGATACGTCGATGAAGTCAGACCCCACTCCAGAGAAGGTGAGTCTTGCGGAGCACGGGACTTTGCCACAAGTAGAACAAGGAAACTGAGAGAGAGAGAGAGAGAGAGAGAGAGAGAGAGAGAGAGAGAGAGAGAGAGAGAGAGAGAGAGAGAGAGAGGGAGAGAGAGAGCACGGTTTGCCCTCCGAGCAATTTCTTTATTTGAACTTCACGTGACTTAGCGGTAGATAGCGGGGCGTGTCAACTTCCTTCGTTTCCGCTGGACTGCTTTGATTATTATGATCTATTTATAGCTTAGGCAAGTGCAAATAACTCCGATCTGAGTTCTATCAGAGGCGACTTGGCGCTCGCTCAGGTTGGATTCGCTCAGGCTGGATTAGTTTAGCGAAAAAGGTCACGTGATTCGGTGACAACCTTTTTTTTTTTTTTTTAATTATCATTTGGTTTTGATGCCGACTTCTCTGCGACTTCAACAAGTTGTGGAGACTCAGAAGCTTCTCTGCGGCTGCATTGCATCAGATTGGAATCTTCTCTGAGACTGCATTGGTTTTAATTATCATTTGGTTGTGAATCTTTTGATGGGCCCATCCTTGCGGGACACAGTTTACGGAGATCAGGAATGCCGTTGAAGGAATGTATGAATCGTGCGTAAAACTTGTCTGTGACTGCAAGTTGACGTCAACGTTGTGGCGAGGTGTTGTTGACCTTTGGGGGGGGGGTTAGGGAGGGGTGCGGTGTGTCGCCGACGAAGGAAGGGGCCACTCTAGGTAGAAAAAGTGTGTGTGTGTG